ATCATGGTCCATCCTTTTCCCATAGTACTTTTTTTTAGTACTTTTTTTATCCCGCCTTTATTATTTTTATAAATAACTCAAGGCAGTGAACATAGTTAATACTCCTTCCTTCTCCTATTTTCCCCACAACAACAACCCTATGAGGTGAGTTGGGGTGAGAGAGAGTGACTGGCCCAAAGTCACCCAGCCGGCTTTGATGCCTAAGGCGGAACTAGAACTCACAGTCTCCCGCTTTCTAGCCTGGTGCCTTAACCATTAGACCAAACTGGCTCCTATAACTCCAGAAACCATGATAGTATAGAGTATGACTAGTATTTTATGCCTAGCATGACCTTGCCCTGTTTGTTTTTCTTTGTTTATTGAATGTTAAAAATAAAAAAGAGAACTATTAGGAAAATTGATTGGATCTCGTATAGTGTATTTTGCACACTGAGTCTCAGCATAATTATGTGAATCATGAAAAATTTTCAAGGGCAATAAGACAGCCCTAAGGTCATAGTCAGAGCATGAAAGGAGATGTTATTTCCAGAAGAATTATCTTCAGCATAGGCTCCAATTAAATTACCTTTCTTCCTATACTCATAATGCCTGAAGGAGCTTCATTCTGTTTTCTCCGTCTATTGTTACACCTGTAGATCTTCTCATACTAAGAATGGTCTGTGCATATTATTGCAAGGGAATTCTGGAATCTTTTCTGCAGCTGAGGACAGGGAAGTGCTGGTTTTCAGCAGACTATAGTTGCCTAGCCGATCCAACATGGATCTAAGTGGCAGTTCTGTTAGTTTGTGAGCCATCAGGATTGTTGTTACTCATGTGCCACAGATTTTTGTGACATGTTGCCTGGAACAGCACTCATTCTCATTCATTGAGCAAAACAAACAAACATATGATTCTTTTGTGCCAGAGTCTTTTTGTCTATGTGAAACAATAATATACTATGCTTTAGAAACATTGATTTCCCCCTCCCTTTTTTTTGTATCTGTTCTCCCCATCCCAGACAAAAGCATCTAGCCTGAAATAATCATTGAAACAAACAAATGTTATTTTCCTCACACAGCAAGGATTTCCTTGCATGTACAGCATCAAACCTAATTCACCCAGATTTCTGTTGCACAAGCCATACAAAACATGGTTGGGATTTACTTCTGTGGAAACCCCCAGATCAGCTTACAATGACTAGGTGTATTACTAGAAAGCATTCAAAAAATGTAACTAGGAAAAAGGGACATATCATATTTGGTTTCCAAGATGTCCACAAAAGGAGCCTTTGGAGCAGAGAAGGGGTGATGATGTCAGAACTACACTGGCTTCTTCAAGGTGGTGATTCAAGGTTCTGACATCTTTAATCCCCCTCTATTCCCTTTAAAAGGCTGGGTCACACCATACTTGCTAAGAACCACTCAGAAATGGCAGATTTTGGAATACACTCTCTGTCTCTTTTCTCCAGGATCCGCTGAGCACACTAGAGAGAGACCTGGCTCTGCAGCTGCAGATTGCTGAAGCTGCTCGGTGTCTTTCCCGGGAAGAGAATCTCGCCAAGCAGGTTCGAAAGCGCCGGAAAAGTGCTGTTCTGAAGGAGGAAAAGAAACTGAAGGAATTGGAGCAAGCACTCAGTGAATATCGCCTAGCAGTCAAGCAGCCGTGCCAGCTAAAGACCACTGCTCCAGCCTTAGAAGGTGAGTGGAATTGGTCTGGAGCAGAGTTATCTAATTCAGGGATGGGCAACGTGTACAATCTCCGAAATAAAGTAAAACAACAACAACAGCCCCACAACCAAATCCAGCCCTGGACATGGTGTGTTGTAGCCATGTTCACTTTGCATCATCTTCCCCAGAGACCATTAGTGGCAGCCTGAGGGTGGGCCACACTTCTGTAATTTATACAAATGCTGGATTGAATTGTTTTGAAATACCTCTTAGATGGCTTGGAAAGCAAAGCTGTAGGTGGATACTTTGGTGAATAAGCCTGCTTTGTCTACAAAAAGAAGGCTTGAAGAGTCAAAGAGGTGGTGGTAATACTACAGTCTACCAAGAGGAGGCTAATGGGTTTATTCTGTATGGCCACTCCAGAGGACAAAATTAAAACCACTTTTGACTGAAGAACTAAAAACCAGGAGGGTAGAGGCAGACACAACAAGTCTTACGAAACCTTATAGACTAATCGTTTATGCTAAAATTGATTTGTTTCTCTTTAAGTTGCCACCAAGTTCTTTGTTATTATGAGGAAGTGGGTTTTGAAATTAGAAAGTTATCAGGAAATGAGACAGAGGTTAGGATTAAGTACATGTCCCCATAAATCTTATGAAACAGGCTAAATGAACTTTTGACAGGTACGGTATGGGCAGAATTCATCCTAGTTCAAAGCAGGAAGCTGACCTTTTATGGCTTTTTCCTGCTGTGATAAGCTACCAAGTGAAATTTTCTGTAAGCGGTTGCCAAAGAGAACTCAAGAAAAAACAGGGAGAGGCAGCTGGAGGAGGAAGCATGTAGAAGCCTGCAGTGAATGACGCAAAACTCCGTGGCATCAGATTTAACCCTTAGAGAGTCAGTAACCTAGCTTAGTTTATCTTCCCAAGCTGTCCACTCCAGTTGTAGTCGGACTACAGCTCTTGGAATTCCCAGCAATATGGTTAACAGACATACTAGCTAGGAATTCTGAAAATTGTAGTGGAAACATGCCTGCAAGGCCCTGGGGGGTGGGGGTGGAGGTGGAGAATTTGATCTAGATTTTTTTTAGTCCCTGTCACTTGCTTTTTACAGAGTGCACTCCTGTGAACATGTAAATGAGAAGTAAGCTCTACTGAACTCAGTCAGACTACTTGCAAATAGAATAAACATATTTTGGACTTCAGTATTAGACTCAGTCCTCGCTCATTCCTTTCCCCCTTCCCAGTAGTTGGCTCTCATATTTTACTAGTTCAGGTATTCTACTAAGGAAATAGCTACGTTGAGAAAACATTCAGTGGGATAACTGGATGGCTTCTTATACTCCCACTTCATTGCTTTTTACCCAAGAATTCCATACGAATTTCCAAGAAATTCCCCCAAATTCCCAAGAATATTTGCAGATGGGAACTTAGTGATTTTTTTTATATCTTGTACTATTTGCTTGGAGTATCTGGAACTCAAAAAGGTGGCTTATTTAAACAAGACCATTGATCTAGCTAGCTACAGTACTGTCTACTGTAACTGTTAGCTGCTTCTTGGGGTTTCAAACAGGGGTCTTTCCCAGCTTTATCTGGAGTTGGCCAGGTTTGAACCTATACACAAAGATATGCTTTGTTTAATAGAAGAACAATGGCCCATGCAGATTGTGCAGGAGATCTTGTTGACTGAGTGAGATCATCTCCCCTCCCCCCATCTCAGAGTCCACCTTTGCTGAACCATAAAATGAAGCTAGGAGCTGTTAATATCTACCCGTTGTTTCAGAGTGAACCATGTGTAAGCCCTTTGAAATGAATCAGCTTAAGGGCATTTCTCTCTGCATTGGATTATTGCCATGTCTCATCCACACTACATCTAAAGAGTAAAAGGAATTTTGAACTATTCACATTTTGATATTTTGACTGCATGGAAGGATGCTGCCTGAAATGCAAATCTAAATCCTTCAGATTAGTATGTATTCGCTGTATCGTGGAACTATTTCTTTGAGGAGGGGAAGTTTGTTTACATGAATGCTTTGCCTTGAATGATGTGGTTTGGGTCTATTGGAGTTAGCCCAGTACTAATAAGATAGAAGCTTTTGTTTTCCCATCTGTGGTGCTTCAAGGGATTTATGAGTGCATATTTCTAGTGAGTGTCAGAGATTCTGATAACTGCTTGGAAGTCTATACAGTAGCTCAAATGAGGCTTAATTTCTGGTGTTTTCTTTGATGCCATGAGTAACTCAAAAAGCACAGCTGAAATTGACAGAAGTGCAAAGAATCTTTAGGGAGAAAAAACCCCAAAGGGACTTCTCACCCCAATAACCCAGGGAGGTTGTTTATGCTCAGTGGCTCCAGAATGCTGGCTGAGTGGGAGAAAGCATGGGAACAGAATGGGAAGAGTGAATGGAATGGAGTCAAGTGTCTAGACTCCTGAACAGCAAAATGCGATAAAGCTTTGCAGATCCCATTTACTAGTGCCTTTTCCCATTTCTTTTCAAGGGTTCAGTGCCTTTGATGAGCGTTCCTTGTTGGATGCTTCTCTGGGAGAAGAAGGTAAGCTAAGTAATTATGACCCCAGTGCTCTTTGGCTTTGCTTGGGATGTTCTTCTCTTTGCATGTAGACCTGAAGAAAGTCTTAGGACATTCCATGATAAGAATAGCCTTGAAAGTGCAGCATCTTTTATAATATGTTTCAAGTCGATCATTTACTGATTTTCTGCACTTTGGTGTTTTTGAATATGTTTTGTAACATTATTCCCATATGTTAATAGCATTCATGCCTATACTTCATTATTTCAAATAAATATACTTTTTTCCCCAAACAAATAGTGGCTTGGAGAGAAGGCTGTCACTGTAGTTCATCTAACACACAAATAAGGAATCTTTTTCTCTCTAGAGGTGGTGGGGTTGCATTTTTTAAATAATAATTTCTCATCCTAGGGACGTGATGTCAAGGGGCTTTAAGAATAGAAGTACATGTATTTTGCCTTGCAGAGGCTTAGTAAATAAACATTTAGACAGTTATTTTAGTCAGTGTTTTTTTTTAATTGCACCACCAAAAAAACCCCAAAACCCTCAAAACATTCTGAAGGCCACAACTTGGGGTTTGAGAGGCCACCAGCAATGTCCTTTAATGAAACTTAATATTTGATTTTGGCTTAGCATGTTCAACAAATAATGGCTTATTCAGTAAGCTATGGTTCAGCAAACCATACTTTAAGTGCATAATGTGGGACTCAGAGAGTAATCCTACACCTCCTTTACTATAGTCTCCATGCACTCCATATTTTCCTGCTGTTGTTTTTATTTAATGGCTTCATATGCAGTTAAAGAGATTAGCTATTTAATCACATCTCTCAGCACCTTATCCAGACCACATGATTAAGAATTTGCCTGCATCATCTTACCAAGCTTGAAGGCAAGGAGGGAAGTTTATTATGGCTCTCATTGAAATGGTCCAGAGACAAAGGTGCTAAATTTAGTGTCCTCTTTTGGTTTAATTAAGAGCTGGTAAGAGAGTGCAGGTGTACAAAGTAATTTAGTAGATGTTTAAAGGAGTGTCAAGATTATAGTGACAAGCTATCATTCTTTCTCCTTTCTTTTTAAAGAACCCCCTGTGGTGAATCCTCACCTTCCAACAAAAATTACATCTTGGACACAAATCCAGTCTCACCACAGTTCTTCATCTCATCTTTCCCCCCTTGGCTTTCTAGAAGATTCAGTTCATCATCCAGCTGCTGAAGTGGAGTGCTCACCTATCCAGAATAGTCCCTGGAAAGAGACCAGTTTAGATAAACCCTACGAGAAGCCCAAGAAGATGTCTGAGTCCAGCAGCATGCTGAGGTCAAAATTGTTCACTAGATCTTTCTGCTGTGCTTTTCTCTTTCTTAAAATGTCTCCATCTGATTTCAAAGATTAACTTGAGGTGAATTTATGTAAACTGTGGCTTATGGAGAAGCAATATAATAACTTGCATAGTATACTTGCAGCTGTTGATGAGGGACAAGTTGAATTAAACTTTCTGGTTCAAATCTCAGCTTATTCATGGGTTCTTAGCATCACCCTTCTCTCCCCACTATATTAAAATAGCACTAGTCTACCTTATGAGCTGCATCGTTTATTGAACAAATAAGAAAAGTACTATCAGAATATTTTGTATCCTATGTGTATTATTAAGTGATAACAGTAATAGAAGTCAAATGCTTATGTTATCATTACTAATTTTTTTTGCAAGAATAACTTGCTTGTAAGATGTGCCTATAAGTAAAATTATGAATTGGCATTAATAAATTGGTAGTTAGATTATTTTAATTTGCAGTAGGAAATGAAATTAGGGAATGTTTGGTTCATTTTGACCCTGTGATTCTCTCAGTGGCAACAGTATAGCTATCTAAAAAATAATAATAATCATATTTTGGATGATGTGGAGATGCCATGTTAAGAGCATTTCCTGAAATTCTTCCTGCTCCTGCAATTCAGATAGATGGAAAATTGGAGACAACATCTACAGTATTTACTGGTTGTACCATGACTCTTTAGTGTCCTTCCTTCATTACAAGATCAATTCATTGCAATAATTTATTACAGGACAAATATTAGGGAAGTTAATGGCTGGGTAAGACCAACATAAAATTGTATTTTTGAAAAAGACACCTAAAACATGTCAGCATGACCTGGGGAGCATTGCAGGGGAGAGATAGTTCCACAGGACAGGTGCCATCATGGACAATGCCCTCTTTCATGTCATTGTCGAACAGCAAATTCCTATTTTCCTGAAAAATTGTAGGTGCCTGAAACACTGATGTACACCTGAAGCTTTGTTTCAGGTAGTCTGGTCCATGCTTGGAACTATGTATACTCATACTAGCACCTTGAATCTAGCTGGGTGGTAGACTGGAAGCCGGTGGACCTCTTTTAGCACTGGTGTAATATGTATATAATATGGTATGGAACTCCAGTGAGTACTCTGTCCTGGCACTCTGTACTGGTTGTAGCACCTGGACTCTCCCCAAAGGCAACCCCATATACAGCACATTACAGTAATCTAGTATTGATGCATGAATCATAGTTAATAAACTATCCTTTTCCAGGAATAGGTGCAGTTGAATCCTGTTAAGTTGATAGTAAGGTCTTGTAGACGCAGAGGGGCCTCTGATAACAGGCTGTGAGTCTGTTTCTTTAGGAGAAGTGCATTCCCATCCAGAGCAAGCAGTTTTCCAAATTCTTCCATTCAGGAATTATTTACTTACAGTGTTTCCATCTTATCAGAATTCAGTTTCAGCTCAGTTTATTGATCATTGTTCTCAATCACCAATGTAAAGTTTTCTTGGCATCTTCTGCTTCAGATGTTACAGAAAAATAGAGAGCTGTATGTTATTTGTACACTAGTGACACATCTTCCCAAATTTTCTGATGGCCATACTCCACAGCTTCACATGCAGCAAATGAAATAGCATTGGAAATGAAAGAGTACTGAGATAGCTAATAGGAAAGTTGCTAGGGGGATGACTTAAGTCTTCTGGTGCTATTCCCTGCAACCTACCTCCTAAGTAGGAGAGGACCTATTACACAAGAGTGGTTCCAATCCTCAGACTTGGAAGCTGATCCAAAGAATACTGTAGTCCATTGTATCAAAACAGCTGAGATATTAAATAAGAGTAATCACAATGCGTTTTTTGCCTCTCTGTCATTAAAGGTCATCTGTCAAACAACCAGGGCTAGTTGTGTCCTCTAACCTGGTTGAAACCCAGACTTGAATAGATGTACAGTGTATAATCAATATTCTTCAAGTATACTATGTAGTGTTATCTACCATCTTTATATAACACTTTGGGAAAGATCGCTTTGAAAAGTGGCACATTCTTCAATAGGTTTTTCTTCATATTTACTCTTTTTAGTGCCAAGTGAAGTTTTTGAAAATCTTTGTAAATATCGGTTTCAGTTTTATTGCTGCTATGTGTTTTAAAACAAAACTGCTATTTTTTCGTATTATATTTTTATTTGGTTGTAGTATGGTTTATTTTGATAATTCTATGTAAGTTCCTCTGACAATATCAGCACTAGAAGGTGGAGTGTGATTGTTTGGATGAAATGGGGTTTTACATTCTAGCCAGTATAGGTCCTGCAGTTGCATTACAGAATATGTAAGTGCTGAAATGCCTTAGTGGCATGTTAAAAAGTGCTCTTTGGGGTGCAGTGACCTAGAACCTAGCATCAGAATTAACTAAACCTGAACAGTTGTTTTATTGACACCCTTGAATCTTCATTCTTTTCTTTTGCTTCTCTTCTGTCTCAGAAATAATGGGAAAGAGCGAATGCTGTAGCCCTTAACCAGTGGCCCTCCGTGTGCTTGTAGAAAAAAAAAATGATAACAGGAAAGTAGACGGAAAAGCTGTTTCTTACTTTTCATCTCATTGTGTTTTCTTATAGCACAGCAAGCATAATGCCCCCACCGGCACCCAGCCCTTCCATTAAGAGGACAGTTGAGGCACATTTGTGCCACTTGGATCCTCCTAGGACGCTGGAAGGAAGGAAACAGGCTGGTTCCAGTGCCCCTCCAACACCAGAATTCCCAGGAAGGAGAGGACAGTCTCAGCTGATAAGGTACTGTACTATGAAGCTTTAGTTACAGTATATTGAAGTATTGCTGTGGATTGCCTTGTGTAACCCAGCAGTGGGTTTTGACAAGCAGACACTTTAGTAGGATATAGTAGCATGAAGAAATTAAACTCCTGTGATGCAGACCTTTATATATGTCCCAAAATATAGAGCCTTAAGAATCTTAGCTCTCATTTTAAATAAGTTCCTAGTCTTTAATGGCTCTGAAGGTAGCTTTGCATGGGAGATTACTGTCCAGAAAATAGTGTCAGCTAGAAGGAGGAGGCCAACAGAATAAATATCTATAATAAGCAAAATACATGATTAAAATAAGCAAATATGCAGACGGTGGTGGTGGTGGGGATTTGACTAAAATTGCAAAATTTTGGTTGGGATGGGGAGAACTATAGATGGCATATTGCTCTGAAATGAGACATGTGAAAGAAGGGTGAAACTTTGAACATAAATATATCTGTTACTTGACCCTATTCATAGTTCCATATAAATGTGTATAAAATATAAAAATGTAAATTGTCCACTAAAGAAGTCAGAAATATAACTTCAAACATTTCCTTTAAATGGACTTTTATGACATAGGCATGAGATGAGATAGGAAAGTCCAGTCATAAGTAGAGTGTGCAGTAGCCAGAATGAAATCCGTGGAAGTTCTGAAATCCACGTCTCAGAGTTCTTTGCGTTAAGCTACATAAGGTTTTGCGAAGACAGTGACATGTTCCCACTTTTTCCCACGATCAAACAATTACTCCTGACATTTGCAGTCTTAACTAGATTCTTTGGCCCACAGGGTGTGTTCAACTCGGGAAGGTTTGGAGTCCCGTGGAAGAAGCGCATTGCCCAGGCGACGACCCACCCTCTATACTGTCACCGTCCCCGAGTCCTGCTTCTCTGCATCCAAGCCCAGTCCTGCTCTGAAAGTCAACTTTCACTCTGCTTCGGAAGACAGCAGTTCAGATGTCTCCAGCATCTCTTATACAACATCTGCTGGCAGCAGCAGCCCTGACATTTCCTTTCTGAAGCTGACACCGGCATCTGTAGCAACCAAGGAGGAGCCCATGCAGCCATTCCGTAGCCAGGCCTGCAAGGGACGAGAAGCAGAATGCCACCGTCTGTGTCCTCAGAAGCTGCTTTCTGTGCCAGGTTTTTTTCCTGCCACAGAATATGTGCCAAGTGCCCACATGACTGCTGGGAGAGAGCTCTGCCATGGTCGGCCGTCTTTCATCTCTGGCAGCTCAGCCCACTTTGCCTACCAGGAAAAAGCGGTGCCTGTTAGATTCCACAGGTCAGTTGTACCCAACAATAGGGTAGTTCGTACACCATCCCTGAAGGACTGTCTCCCAGGGGGTCCTCGAGTTCTCTCCAAGGCAGCAGTGACAGAAGAGTTAAAATCCTGGCATGAACGGACCCGGCTGCGCAATGCACGTCCCCATTCGCTGGATAGGCAAGGAGCTTTTCGTGTGCGCAGTGTGCCAGGCAGAGAACTGCATTCTCCGTGTTCTTTAGGGCAACAAATTCAGGTAAGGCTATATGGCAGCTCTAGGGAGAGGGGAACTAGCATATTCCTAATGTTCTCTGCCTTGCCCCAGGGTTCCCTTAACACGGCAGCTTTCCCACAGCAAGGAGAGCAAATAAAGCAGTGGGCTAGGTGAACTTAGCCAGTCTTGCTGAACTCCTTTAAAGGCCCATTGCAAGAGTGGGCAACTTCCTTGTGGGTTCTCCTCCACTCCTGGCTTATACCATCTGGGCACACAAGGAAAAGCAACTAAACTTAAATGCATGGAAAAGCTGGAGGAGGAGTTTTTTGACTGAATTTGATGGGTGCCAACAAAAATGGAGAGCAAGCCGTGATTTTACTTACCTCCACTGCATGTTCTTTTTGGATATAAATATGAAGGCCATGAAGTAAACAAGGGGAAAAAAGGATTGCTTTTTGTTCTTTTTGCAAACCTTCTGCCTCTCCAAATTTGGAAGAAAATGGAAAAAGAGATTATGCATATTTCCAATTATTTTTGTTTTAAATGACATGTTAATTGGTTAAGATGTGAAAGAAATTGATATATGTTTGGAAATACACCAACTCAAAGAGTAAACAAACATGTGAAAAGGTAAAAAAGCTTGTCTCAATGTAGGCTCTTTCTGATTTTCAGAGGATCATGAAATTGATAAAATAATCAAAATAAAGGGTCAGAAGAAGCAAACCACTACAATCACTACTGATAGTGAGGATAATACTTCGGATTCATATAAGATTCATTTAAAGCAAATTCAATCAATTCATGTATAACTGTTGTTTGGATAAACTATACTTTTCAACTGCATATAAAAAATATACTTTTATAAACAAGCCAACTTATAGATAATTAGCTTTGATATGAGAGCAGGATTTCATATTTGTAAAGTTTGTTAGAAATTAAGAACTGCATATATTTCCATCCCCCCTTTCCAATTTCTGTTTTTCCTTCCACACATGATTTGCTGGTTATTTTATCATTTCATTTCATTATTTCAATTTGATTTAGGTGTTCCTGACACTAGAGTGACTCTGGGCAGCTCACAATGTAGCAGACAAAGTTTTAAAAAATATAGATTAAAAAAAACATGCCAAATAAAAAAACAAGCTAAATAAAGAACAAAATGGCAAATTTGGCCAACAACACAAAAAACATATACAGGGATACCTTGGCGATATTGCAGGTTTGGTTCCAGACTACCACAATAAAGCCAATATTGCAATAAAGCAAGTGACATGAATTTTTAGGTCTCCCAGTGCATATAAAAGTTATGTTTACACTATACTGTAGTCTATTAAGTGTGCAATAGCATTATGTCAAAAAAACAATGTACATACCTTAATTTAAAAAATTTCTTAAAATAAGACAACAGTGAAGTTTGCCACATCATTTTACTCTTTCTTTCACAAAATATTTCTCTGTAGCATGCAATGCTGTTTGATAAACGCAATATCTGCGAAGTGCAATAAAGCGAAGCACAATAAAATGAGGTACGCCTGTACGAACATACCACAAAGAGCTCCGTCCACCTTAGCCCAGGGCTTGGGAGAACAGCCAGTTCTTTAAGGCTCTCTGGAACACCTGCTGGGTGTTCAGAGAAAACCTCATTTGAGAGGGCAGGCACTGCAACAGGGAAGATGCGCTTCCTGGTTCCTGATAGATGACACTGTTTCATGTGTTCACAAGAAAACCATTTAATTTGCCGTCTACCACAATGGGCTTAAGTCATGCTGTGATCTCACATCTGAAGCTGTTTGAATAAAGATCCCTTCTGCTAGATGCAAAATATCTCTCTCTGATATCCATTCCAACCCCACCAGACCTACCAGATTTAGAGATGTTTGGTTTTTAAAGAAGAAGGCACAAAGTGTTATGTATAAATAAGAATGAAGCTTTGGGCTGGCATTGTAGCCCCCAAACTGTGAGAAGTGGGGCTGTGCCTTCTGACATTGTGCTTGTGATACCACCCTTCTTTAAAATGTCCTCTTCCAAGTAACAGATACGTGTTTAAAGCAGGAGGAGTTGATGTGCACGATACTTATGGGTCATCAAAATCAACAGGAGTTGCGTAAGCCTATGGCAAAGAATGAAATGATTGCATGATAAACATTGAATATTGCCTACCCTCCTTCTTCTGAACTCATCTCTGAATTGATAAATTGCAACTATTCTTCAGCTTAAGTTTTTGGTTCTTTCTAAGTTAGACTGGTTGTTTGTTGGGAAATGATTAAATTGCACACAAGCTCCTTTGTTCTGAGCAGTCTTTCTGAACCTAATGTCCTCTGGATGATTTGGTCTTCAACTCCCACAATTCCATGCTAATACATCTGGAGGGCATCTGATGGGGAAAGCTAGTTAGCTGCTTTTGAGGGTTATTGACAAAGGCCTTGCCATGTTAGCTGAACTTGGTTGATCTCAAAATGTCTAAGCAGGATTGGACCTGGTTATTAGTCAGGTGCCAGACCACCAACAAATCCCAGGGCTATAGGCTAGACTGGAAAGTTGAAAAAGTTGTCCTGAAAGAAGACAATGGCAAACTGTCTATGTGTGATTACCAAGAAAACTACCTGGCCATTCCCGTGTAGTCACCAGGAGTCAAGTTGGACTTGAGGGAGTATTTATCTTTTATTTTTGTCATGGCAGTTGATTCTGGGAATGTTCTGCTACCTACTTTCGGAAATGTAGTCAGTGATAGAGTCTGTATGATACGGATCATTTTTTCTTCTAGATATTTTTTCCACTAGATGTGTGAATATTTCATAAGGAGCAAAACTTTCATCTCCTTGGACATCTCCCTTGCCTGCAGCACAGGCCCACACCATGCAAGCATGAGCTTGCCCTTGGTTTCCTCCTATCATCCTCCTTAATGCTTACCTTCCAGCTTTGAAACAGAGCTGCAAAATTGTTATCCTAGGAAGTGGTTGCGTGAGCTAGAAAGGCAGGTTCCTGAACAGCTTGTGCTTATTTTTGTCTAATCTGCTTTAAGTAGAACATTGAAGCCATGCAGTGATGTCATGTGAGATTAACTCTTCACAGTACTCTATCACCAGTGCTGAAAGTCCATTGTTATGTTAGCTGAACTTGGTTGATCTCAAAATGGCTAAGCAGGATTGGTTGGTTTGTGAGTTTAGGAGTTAAGAATTCTAGATGCAAGATTATTCTAAGTTCAACTGCATGAAATCTGCTTCCTGTTTATCAGACTGAGAAAAGGGAATGTTTTTCCCTAATACAGAGGAGAAACATTGCTTATACAGTATAAGCATTACATTAAATGGACTTTAGTCCAGAAACTGATTCCATATTACATATGCTCGTCTTTAAGATTCTGCAATACTTCTTGCGTTTGCCACAACAGGCTAATTTAGCTGACTTTCTGGAACATCTAGCTTGATAGCGCAGGCCATTGACTGAATGTAAAAGGATAGAAACCCGGTAGGTTTCACTTCACTTGTGAAGCATTTCAGGTATTGACAAATTAGCAGAGACATTTCCTAACCTTGCTGTTTCCTGAGAATCTCCTACCCATAGTTGTTTGGCTGCGTAGCACGGCAAGCAGAATGAGAAGTTCTAAACCATAAATTAGTAATCTGTAAGCCCCACGCAGCCTGCTAGGGTAGCCGCTTTATTGCCATGTTCCTGAATTTTATCCTAAATCCTGCTGCTGCTTTTAGCAGTGGACTTTTTGATGGCCTGCTAAGGGGAGTGCATGGGAATAACCCATCTCTTATGCCATCTTCTCTAATACAATCATGACGCTAACATGCAAGCTGTTGGGCAGGCAATCTTCTCCATTTGTCACATGCCTTTTTTTCCCCTCTTAATAGATGAATTCTAATGGTAGTGGAGTAGGTAATGGGAATCTCTGCTAACACAGCAGTTTTATTAAAGGCTTTATTTTGTACTTGCAGGTACCTCGTGTCCATATCCTCAAACGCTCTCCCGAAGGAGCCCCCGTGCAGGTCTACGTTCCGGAAAATGGAGAAATCATTACTCAGGTTTAGAGGTTGCTAAATCTACCATCTCACAGACTCTGGCAGCATCAGCAGGCTGACTGCCTCCTAGGCCCTTGACTCTGGGAGGGGAAAAGGAGGCCTTAAATCAAGTCTTGACATGTTCTTGCATCTGCTGCTCCTGCTGTTTGGAAGAGAACCTTTGGGGCTAATTCTGCAAGCTATGCGAGGACATGTTCCTATGATGAATTGATACAATGTACTGGTGACAAAAGAATTTGTGTTCCTTGTGTTTTGTGAAATATAGATCACAGTAACTAGGGGTTGTCTGCCTATTTATTCTCTTAGGTCTGTGCTGGAAACAACTTTGAGTGTCTATAGATTATGGAAACAAAATTAGTGTGGGATTTTCTTATGAATTTTAGTAAAGAGCTATTGCTGACCACAACTTTCTTTCTTGTGGAAGTAGAATGTATGTGTATCTACACAAGTTCCTTCCCAATTGCTAGATTTGCCTTCTTTGTTCCCAAAGAAAGCTATCTGATGCAGCCAATGGTCTGCCTGAGTGTACTTCATGCCCCTCCCCATTATTCCTTTCTATAGACTTATGAAATTCACAAATCTTGCTATCTCTGTGGATCTGTGTGTGAATCCTTATTTTCAGTTTTAATGGAATTTTGTATTGAAAAGAGGTCCATTTTGATGGATGAAATATAACATATTGCTCAACTTTTGTATGCAATCCTCATTAAATTAAGGAAGCAGAGGGTTGTCTCTATAGAACAAATTGCATGTTACAAAACTGATAATCATCTAGCACTGATGAGCCAGGCAACCAGCTTTAATTTTATTGCAGAACAGATTAATGACTGGTTTGTCAGCTATAAGAAAACAAGTCACTATCCACTGACCTCTTATGTAAGAAACAAGATGGGCATGGGCTCCTTACAAAAAAACCATTACACATTATGTGCAGAAACTAGCTTTATAGGTTAACAAGATGTTTAATTCAGCAATATACTCAGCAACCTTAGGGATAGGCAAAATGTGTGTGGAGCAGCTAGTTTGGGGTTATCTATGCCTAAACAGAAATATTTGTTGGGCTGTTTTGTTCCGGAGATGGACTAAAACATGGTTGCTCTGGGCAGAAGTGGTTCAGGGAGGGAAAGAGCAGGAAAAAGCCAAGGTTGAGGGATTTCCATAGTAAGGGGGATGTGCTTTGTGATGGCAGTGACAATGTAGGAGGACAGAAGAAGGCAAGGCACTGAAAAGATCAGAGGCAGGTGGGTCAGTGCCACATTGGGATTTTGTGATGGTAGCTGAGCAGAGGCAGGGGAAGAAGAGGGCAAAGTATACCACTGTATAAAAATCACTCCATAATCCCTCTGAATGTTGTTTTAGCAGAAACCCTGGGCAATGGAAATGATGTGGGTTGTGTTTCTGCCAGGCCACAGCCAATCCAAAACATTTTGGAATGTGATGGTTTGTCATGGGTTCCAACCAAAACAATTTTTCTACTTTCTGCGTATCCTTATAGTAAACCATAGCCTACAAGGCTGACATGAATTGTAGTTTGTGTATCACTCTTGCATTTAACTTGAGAACTCTGATAAAATTCAGTCCTACTCAAGGGTATATATTTTTAAGTTTTGGTAAGTTATTCATATTGCCAACCATTTTCTTGTCAGTGTTCTATGTCTTTTGGCTTCATTAGAAGTAGAAATCAAGCTAAGGAAATGTTCAACCTATTTGCATTATTAAAAAAAAGTGCCAGCAGTGTTCCGATAACTTTGTTGTCATTCAGATATGAAAGGGAAAGAGAAGCCTATCAGAAGGCAGCCTTTTGTTTAATAATTGTCATTTTATATAAATAGAAGTCAACATCTTCAAATGACATGATTTCTCTTCCCCAAAATACTTCAGTACAGTGTGTCAGAATTCCAACTTGTCCTATCCTTTTTTTCAAGGGTTTTCCACAATGTGAAAACAAGAAATACCTATGGAAAAGATGAACTTCAAATTAACTTTGTTAAAAATGGCAACATGGCATTGTGTTTAATTTCAGTCCAGCCTAGAACCTTTATTGTCCAGATCTCTGCAAAGAAATCTTCGTGATCCTAAGTAAATTATTTACAAAAGGCAATTTGTATAACAATTCTGGTTTTGGGAGTCATGGACTGCTTCATTCTTAACCACTAGAAACCTTTTTTGTATCATTCATCTAGCTTCTTACTCTTCTACTGTTGTTGTCCACCCAAGGAATAATATACTTTGATAGTCTAGAACAGTCTAGACATCTTACAGTTGCCAAGGTTGAGAAATACTGATGTAGAAAGCATTAAAAAAAATAGATTGCCAGAATAATTAATATGTCTGCAACCCTAGAATGAATAGAGACTTTCTCTCTTGCCTTTAACTGCTGTATCCCTCATTGAAGGGGGGGAGGAGGGTAATTTTGCCCAAATGCTGTGTTGGCCAACACACTAGATGATATCAGCAGATAAGAGTTTGGGAAACAGGAACCCTTTCTCTAAATTTAACTTCTCTCCCTTCAAGGCCATTCTCTATACAAAAAGCGTTACCTTCCAGGCCCTGAAGGGCAAGGGATCTTGGAGGACTTTGTGAGCTACTTTGACATCTCTCAAACCAGATTAGGCCTGTGGGATTGAGTTCTCCATGTCTGCCCAGGGCCATTTCCAAGCTCCTAGTTATTTTTAATCCTTGCATTTGTTTCTGTAATAGTTTATCCAATTTCTCAATCCACAATCTTCTGATTTTATTTTTTTAAGCCTTTGCATTAGGCTTTTAATGTAAAAATCAGACTTGGAATTTCAGTTGAATAAATTTATTTATTACCAGGAGGAACAAAGACATTCATTGGAAAACCATGTACATCAGAAACCTTAAATAACTTACATTATTTACAGAGAGGTATAAAATATTACATACATTGTATCCCTACATGCACACACGCACACACACATTCACACTCAATACCATTTTGCCAGATGACACAGCCCTCACAGAAGCCCCAGACAAGCACCAGTGTTTTCTATGGGTAAAAAACCCACCTTTCAGGGTAAGGAAAGGCACCTGCTGTTTGAAACAACATTTCAACCTGGTCACATCCAGATATGCTGGGACTGCAACAAAAACAATAGTCCCAACCCTAGACTGAGACAGCTGGTGTCCATTAGTACACAATCAGAAGGCTTCTTAAACTGAAAGTTTAGCCTTAGGGACAGCATGATAACATGTGCTAAAATATCCTTGCAGATGATGCAAAACCATTTATTAGTCTTACTACAGTAACCTGCTGTTCAGCTTCTGAAAATTATGAAAGAGATGAAATGTCCATTGTTGGTTACTTTGAATCCTCTCAATTATGTGCTTCAAGTACAATCAACAATAGGGTAAACTATACATACTAATCCCAAGAAATTAGCTCAATTTCATTTCTGCCACATCCATGGGATCAGAAGCATTAAAAGATACAAGGTATTTCCCCCCCCCAAAAAATGGAGAAATAACCCCATGCCAAAGCACTAGAAAGAGCAAAAGACACCCAGGACTATATGGCAAATATGGTCAGTAATTTAAGAAGAAATGTGTGGACTCCTCCGGATTTTCTTGAATCTGAGCTGCTATTAGCCCGAGCCGTAAGGCCAACTGATGAGGGAATGATGGAAGCTGAAGTCCAACTTCTGGAGGACCACAGATCACATAACCCTTCATTTAACCCATAGGAAGTATCCTGTGGCAGATAGATTTAGACATACCAAGTATTGCCTTTTGGGATACTTCATATTCTTTGTTCTAAACAACTTATTTAAGTAGATGGAGAAAACTTTGCTAAGCTAATTCACAATCTATTCACAGATTTGTCCAGGCAAAAACATTCACGGGACCACAAACTTCCCTAAATAGCAAACAACATAATTTGGGTTCCATGTGCAGAGATAAAGATTGTGCTGATTTTGTGGAAGATAATATTCTTCCAGTCTTGGAATCATATGACCCCTTCCCCGCTCAGTTTAGAATGCTGAATTAAGGTAGGACTGCAGAAGTCACCAAGATGCAATAAATACAGTACGGCTATAATATCTAAGCAGAGATTATTTAAATGGTGCCTCTGAGAATACATCCCAGATTCGAATGTAATCAACACAGCTATAACCGTGAAGGCAAAGCACAAAGGCCAGCTTCTTTCATCCTGCCTTCCTCTTGCTTTTGGGGCTCTTGAGCTCAGAAATTGGGATCAGTGATACTGTGCGTTTCCCAGATCAATTCAAGTTTCATTAACAAACAAAACAAAAAAAATGAGAAAACACCTTGGACCATGAGGTAGGTTAACTCAAAACAAGCTCTCACCCTCTTAAAATCTCAGTCACACACCTCTCCCTGCTGCCCCCCACCCCCAATTGCACAAGACAAAACACAGAATCATTTGAACACCCATTTAGAATTACAATACAACTTCTCACTTGGATGGAAGAATCAGCAGCTTCAGTGTAGAGAAAGGGATTTTCGTAACACAAGTGAATGGACAGAATTCCAACCTAATCCAGGGCAGTAGAGCAAAGGCTCCTGCAAACTAAAGGCAGAGCTGTAGAATGGTCCAAAGTATTTCAAAAGCAAATTGCTTTAACTTGCTGGTCCATATTTCCTTACTGGTGAGTGGCTTTCCCCAAGTCTGCTGCTGAGCAATCAGTTTAATCCTTGGTCCTCTGATGAAAGAGTACAATGCAAGTTAAAAGTTTAAGGATGAATCCTATTACAACTCATCTGAGAAATGAGGATGTGAAGAGTGCTTGATAAATCCTCCAGTGAGGCTTGGACAGCCCTGCTACATTGCACACAGATGAAAGCTGTTCCCACACAGTGATGGATACTCAAGGGCTTAAGCCAATGTTTGCTGCTAAAAATCAAGTGCCCTGAACAATTTCCTGTGAAAATTCAAGTTTCTAAAGCACAGAGCATCGACTTTTACCTGCTTGCTCCTTATTATGATGTGAATTTGAATGTGAATGTTTGAAAAAGATGTAAACAAAAGGAGATGCGGGGGGGGGGTGAGATAAGAGGGGCAGGCTCATTATTTCCCCAGTAATACAGGAATGCATTGCAACACCCTTTGTGCTTAGCAATTCAAATGTCCCTTACCCTGTTTGAAAGCTGGGGGGAGGGGGGGTTCCACAATTTTCTGTCCCCAGACAAAGGAGGGGACAAAGAAGTCCTTTTTCCTGTGATAGGGGACAGTTGATGTCTGCAGTTACTGCCATTTTGTAACTGGAAGAGGACAAAACAGTTCTGCAGACTGGCAACAGGGAGTGGGGGTGGCTTGTCCAGGCTACTTCTTTGTCAGAATTTCCAAATGATGGCATGAAGGAGAATCCCAAATGTATTTAATCAGTTTATCTCTCTCTTTTTTGTCGGTTATCTAACATTTTGGGAAAAGCATCCAGCTTTACAATTGGTATTCACAAAGCAACAACTCTTCTGAAGTTATCAAAATTGAAATGTCATGGAAGATCATCAAATCAGTCACCAAATGTATAGTTCTGTTTAACACAATTGGTAGTTGTCTTTTTTCTTTTAATACTGGCATTCCGGGAATCTGGGAAAATCAACTTCATGACTATTTGGCAAATGAAAATGAAAACCTCTGGGCAATTCTAAATCTAGAGTGAACACCGAGAAACATTATGTGCTCAAATTAAAGTGGCTCATTTTCTTGCATTCTCCTCCAACCCTTCTCCCTTTCAAAAAGAAAAAAAATAGCAATTCACAGATAGAAATAAGAAATAAAAGTCAGTACTTCATAAATCCTCCTGAAAGACCTAACTAGAACAAGAAATACCCTTTAAAATGTAACAATCAACTATCCAGGAAGCAACTGGCATCCCTTGATTTTCTCTCTAGTTATTTTCACTGTTAAATCCTACGGACATAGGCAGTTCCTGGAGAGCTGGAGACCATGGGTAAACCTTGCTTAGTTATGCTGGGATGAGAAATCTAATTCCTATTCATAAAGTATTTTGATTCCTTTCTTCAAAATGCTCTATTTTGTAGAGCTTGTTGGATGGATTCTGACTGAAACAACCTCAGCACCAAGTTTTGTCTTCTCTTTTGGCTCCATTTTACAATGGCTGACATCATAGACACCTGACAAGGAAGGAGACTTAAGTACATACACTGGAAAGAAAAGGAGACTTCCTTTATCCCCTCCAACCCATGTACTTGTCAAAAAGCCAGGCAGCCATCTCTTCCTGAAGCCCTGGATGTGAGAGATTAACTACTGCTTCCTAGCCAAGCTCCATCTTAGTCTTCTTATGACCATTGTGCTGTTCCCCAGCTTCTAGGTTGTGCTGTTCAGTAGCTTCCTCGCACTCCAGAGCTTCACTGTGCAGTCACTGGGAATAAAGGCAAAAAGGTAAGAATGTGGGGAATATCAATAAAAAAGTGGAGCATGTACATTCGAAACCAAAACACTACATGAGCTGAGAAATAGGGAAAACAGCCAAATTACCTATACTTTAAAATGGTATACTTACACTGGCACATTTTCATTTTGAAGGAAAAGAACTACAGGGGTTGCTAATCTGGGTCATTTGATGCTTTCCTGATATAAACCATCATTCTGCTTATCCCCAATGCCTTCTATTTCTCCCTGAAAATTGCAGTTTAGGGATAAATGGGAATTGGCAGATCTGGGGTCAATATAACCCCCTCTCCAAATCAAGGCCTCATGCGATTGCTTTTCCTTCAACATAAAATTGACCAATTTAAGCATACTTTTAAAAAAGTAGATTTAATAAAACATATTTTATATTAGTTTATAACACTATATCAACCTGCCTAGAGCAGGGGGTTCAGGCCTCTCCCATGTTTCATGCTCTTGCAACATCCAAAGGCCTGGGAATGATTCTTGAGCTCATTCCCTATTCTGATTCATATGGAGGGAATCTAGATGTCTTCAAATTATTTCATTTATTAGATTTCTATTTCATGTTTCCTCCAGGAGCTCAAGATCTCTTAGCTCTCCATTCACTTAATCCAGAATGGGCTCTCCATTCACTTAATCCCCTCAACAACAATGCTGTGAGATGGATTGGGTTGAGAGAGAATGAGTGACCCAAAGTCACTCAGGGAGCTTTCATGGCTCAGGGTGGATTGGAACCTACATCTCCCCATTTCTAGTCCACCATTTTTACCACTATATCACACTGACTGGTCCTTACACTTCAAAAACCATGTGGTGAACTGGGAGTACCTCATTGGAGCCCATTTGGTCCTCACCACACTGATCTTGAACTGATTTTACTAGGATCAAGTTAATACTTATTTCAATATGACAGGTTTCCAAATAAAGCACAGACCATTTGACAATGGAACCAAATTGGCAAAGTTGGGGAAGAAGATAAGGTGGGTTTGTGATGCCCATTTGGGAGGGAGATTAGGGAGTGATTTCTCCCTTAGAAAACACCTTCACTTACTGTCCCTTCAAAGGAAAGAAAAGCAAGTAAGCATTGCATACCGTCAAGAAGCAGCTGAAATCAGCTCCCAGAGAGAGGGGCAGGGAAGACAAAGAGGGGCAGGGAGGGAGAACACAGCAAGAAAAAGTAAACAGGAGAGTAGAGAAGAAGGAGGAAGATCAAGGCAGACTGGTGGCACGGCCCTTGATGGCAAGGACGCGTCGTGGAAGGCAGGGGGTGAGCCCAGGCACGTAATTCCATAACTTTACCCGACAGTCACTGTGGCACAGAGAAAGAGAAAGAGAAAGAAAGAAGAAGAAAAAGAGGAGAAGGAAGACAGAAAAGGAAAAAAAAGAAACATGGTCGGAAAAGTGGAGATCAGAGATTGCATTAGGGAAGAAAGTGAATGATGTATTCTTAGTTGCCCTCCCAGGAGATGCTCTTCTGCCAAGCCTTTGGTGCTTGTTTGTTTTCCAACCCCAGCTTTGCCAGAATCATTTTTGATAATGGCAGGTTACCAAGTATCCCCACAGCTCTGCTCCTGATTTCTGAATATATAGATAAAACATTTTACTCATTTTACTTCGCCTTAATCAGGGAAGCATGGACTGATTCACTAAGATACTCAGGTAGCAGTACTAGGTGGAGCAAGACATTTTTTTCAGGATTTCTCTTTGGGATCATTGGACAAAGATGATACTTCACTCATAATGGTGTTATATGAAGAAGTTATGAACAAAACAACTATCACAAAAATTTATCCTTTGGTTTCATGGATGAACAGTCAATGGCTGCAGCAGTATTAAAGGTGGCACTCAATGATTAGTTAGTCACTGAAACAATGGCTCCTTTTGCTTCCTCCCTCAATCAAGCATTTGGACTCAACTCTAATGAAGCAGTGTGATCTTGAATCAGTCAATTATATATCATGGGATCAAGAGGGCAAAAACTTTTGGAACTCTCTCCTGCATATAATAGGACTCTGCTGAAACACTCACCTGGAAGCTGTGAAAATGTGCTTTGAATTTGTGCAGATGGCATTGATAGGACTATCATGCCCCTTGATGTCCCCAACAGGTGTGAAGTTGTCAACATTCCAGACCTTCACTGTCCCACCACGGCAGGCACTCAGCAGCATGGGCCGACTGGGCACAAAGGCCAAAGCACAAACCCAATCTTTATGTGCAGGGATTTGCTGGAAGTAGGAATATAGTAAACTGAATCAGAAAGGGCCCAAGCCCTGTCATAATCTCCCATTCGTTCTTCCCACAAAGGATTATGACTGAGTTGGGGTGAGGGGGTTGAAGTGAAGTACATTGGAGAGAAAGGCTCTCTAAACAAGACATGCTAAAACCTTTTACAGGTAGGTACATCAAGTGAGTGGTACAGAGGCATCTAACCAATGCAGGATCATGTTTTCATTAGTAATCATCCCAATTATCAAACAATCTTAGCAAAAGAACAGCCAGCTGATAAAGCTTAGGAGTCGGAAGAAACTTTTTTTTAGAATTTATAAAGGAAATCAACCTTATCTTTGCTTAAAATTAAAGCTGTTTGAAACACAGGGTTTTCTATGGACACTCTATCAAAAGATGTTAAATAGTGAGAAGACCAGAAAGTATGTATCCCATCTTAAAAGACTGTGATGAAATCTGAGCCCAATACTTCACTGAAAACTAAAGGAAGGAAGTTATCTGATTAACTCAGTTGACTACTTTGAACTAAGAGGTATTTTGTTTATTTTTCCATAATTCTTGAAACTTTTCAAGATTTTAAAGATCAGTGATACAGGAGAGATATGCTAAGGCTGTAAAGTCAAAAACTATACCCTGAAAATGTGTTAGCCATTAGTGTACTAGTATTACAAAATAGATGATGGTGGAATTTATCTAATGGTCCCTGAAATAGAACAGCATCCATTAGCAGAAAGGATTATTTTCCCTATTACAACTCCAGAAGCATCCCCCAAATCTGCTCTGGAAAACTGGGTGACCCTACAATTGACCCTACACTTCAGTTTATGCAAGGGAAAGAGAAGTAACAGAAAGTGTCACTAGACATAAGGAAGTTCACTCCTGTGATGCTAGATGTAGCCTTGTAACATTAGTACAACTAGATTCCACTAATATACTAGCACATACGGACACTTTACCATATCTTCAACATTATCTATAGCTCAAACACAACATATGATCTTTCACACTGCCTTTGCAAACCAAACTCCCCCCTCCCATTTTTATTCCCCAATGATATCATAGCTTAGTGCTTTCATACCTGGATGAGCTCTTGATGTTCCAAGTCCCATTTCTTGATCCCATTGTCACGGGAGCCACTGAAAAGTATGTCTCCCTGAATAGCTAGGCACTCGATCCCATCATAATGTGGAGGTTCAAAGTTGTGAGAAGGGCCAATGTTCCCACCGACACCTTCAGCAATTTCAAACATCTGCAAAATAGAACCTCTTAGGGGAAAAAAGTAGCTAATCAAAGTCTGCTGCTCAAGTTCAAGGTGCCTTAAGCCTTGGGCTCAGTATTGTACTTTACTGTTAGAGAAGGAGGAACAGTGGTAGAAGAAGAGGACCATCTCCCTTTCCCAACAAATTAACTTTTAAACAAGAAGATTATACAGAATGTTTTTGGAACCTGAGATGTGGATTGGCTGGGATTGGGCTTAGCTTAGATCTTTTGTAAGGAACTGTAGTGGGGAACAGAATGCAGATGTTCACTGAGAAATAATTGTTATAACCACAGTTGTTGGATAGCTCCTGCTTTGTTTTTCAATTAATTCCTTTCCCAGTGATTCACTGGGAAAGCCAAGCAAATGCTAATTGTGAAACTCATTAGAGCTTAATGCAAGTGGTTTTATTTGCTCTTTATGTAGTAGCCCTTCACTTTTATTACATTAAGGTAAACAGTCTTATGGCTACTACATCTTTCTCCTGGACCAGAAATTCTCTTCTGTAAAATGGCTGAAGTTAAAGACATGACAACAGAAACAGAAACATTTTACTTCTTTCTTGTACTAAAGACCTGTTGAAAGTTGAGACTGCAGAAATATTGCGGGATTTCTCCTCTCCCAGTACTTAAGGAAAGGTATTGGAAAGGAGAGGGACTAGACTGTCAGTAAAATAGAAATAGTGCTCCTGAATATGCTATCAATACACTCAACAGTATTTAAATAATACCTTAATGTAGTGATCCTTAGATCCTGTGACTACCAAGTCATGATTGCTTGCAGTCCTATTCACTGTGAGACACATCACAGGACCAATGTGACCTGTCAGCTTTCCAATAGGCTGAAACCTAATCAATATATAAATAAGCCAATAAAGAACCAAACACTACAACAGTGATGAAAACATTGTGGGCAGAAGATTTTATCCAAGAAAAAAAATGCTCCTTTGCCCCTTCCCTATACTGGCAACCCCAACATGCAAATTCTCTGAAACATAAAAAGAATGGCAACAAACTTCAACAACTCCTTGTCATTCTCTTCTGGGCCCTCTCACACATTTGCAACCACTTGCACACTGGGCAGTCCCCTCACTAATATTAGATGGAAAGAATGCCCAGGTGAACTTTATATTCTGTCCTTTCTGACAAGGATAGATACCGAAATCTTTCTAACCCAAAGCCTTCAGGCGATATTGAGACAGGGTCAAATATGCATATGTACTACATTCATATAAATGCACATACATGTGCATACATATAAGAATACTGATATGCACATACAGACACACACCGCTGGATATTTATATTGCAATCCTCTCCCCAATGTTACTGAGATTGCTGGAATGGAGATGTGAAAGCTTTTAATCTCCTCTGAAGTTACTAAGGATGTAGCTATCGCCAGATTGTCTGAAAGGTCCAGTTCCTAAAGACCAGTGACCATAAAGTATTGTCAGTACAGATACACGCAGTATGACATTCTGCTTTTTACACCACAAGGACTTTATGATCATTGGATCTTCAAGGAAATCATTAACAAGTTAGGGGTGTCCTGGAAAGTGTACAGGATTTACAATCGTGGATTCTACAGAGGGATGCCCCAAAGGCACTGAAGGGCCATGTGAGCCAGGAGTTGCTGGTTGTTTATCCTGATATACAATCTGTAGGTCTCCCATATCAGCCTAGATTACAATTCTCACTATCCCCAGGCTTATTAACTGGGGATGATATGTATTATAGTCTAACGCTCTGGAGGACACCAGGTTAGAGAGGTGATTTCTGGTTTGCTTTCTGACCTGTTCAGCTCCCAAATGCGGACAAAATTGCCAGTGGCTGCATAAAGCATGGTGCCTGTGGGATTAAGTGCAATCTGATTGATCTGGTGCTCGCCTTGCACGCTGGTGATAGTCCGGGTAGTGGTCCCAGCACAGGCATCTCCGGTGATCACCTGGCCCGAGGAGCTAGTGGACAGAAAGAGAGGGAGGGTTTGAAACAGAAAAAGTCTCTGACAAAAATATAAATGGAGAATCTACAAGTTTGCCCTTACAAGAGACTATTTCACCACAGGCAATTTTATCAACAGAATTGAGAAGGGTACCCTCATTCATTTATATACTGCAAACTCAAAGAACTAGAAGAAATTATTTCTCAGCCTTACTCCTACTAACTGCAACTATAATTGTCCAGTGCAAAAAAAAAAAAAAAAGTAATTAATGGCTTGAACTTGTTTTCTTTCTGGTATCTTCTTCTGCAATAAGAATTAATTAAACCATGCAGTTAGAGTTAGTCCAACAATGGGTTTTGCAAGATAAGACTAATTAAATCTTTTCTTCTTAGCTGGAAGAAGAAAGTAAGTAACACTAGACTGAAAGGAAGGCTTAAGAAGGCCAAACTTCATGTGATGTTAGTCAGATGGTTATCCACTTGGTTTGTTAGACTCTAGCTTCCACAATGTTCATTCAGCACATTCATACTAGCTGGGAAATCTGGGAGTTGTATTCCTACTACATCCTAAGGGCAAAGGGAATCTTGGGAAAGATTACTCTAAAGCATGCAATGCAGTGATTACTCACGTGAGAGTGCGGATGCACTTTGCAGAATCACGGATATCCCACACTTTGATGTAAGAGGTAGAGACTGTGAATACTAGGCCAGAGTGACTGCAGTATTTTATGGAAACTACATTATTTGGATGACCTTTCAAAGATGCAATTTCCTGTCCTGTCACTAAGTTCCACATTTTGCAACTTCGATCTTTGGGAAGGAAAGAAAACTGCATCAGAATGGCTCTTTCTTCTCTGCTCAGAAACCACTAGTCTCCAGTAAACGGTAAGATATCTTGAGGCATGCACATGAAGCATGGAAAATATGACACTTGATTGGTCCAGGAGATACATGTTCTCCTTAACCTGGATTCTGAAATTGTCTTAACAGAGGTGAGTTAGATTGCCACTCGCTTATTTTTTAGAAGTACAGGTGACTCTGAATATGTGTTCTCAAAAAAGGCAGGGGATAATATGAATCTATAGCTGTCCTAGTAGACATATGGCTCCCACAAAGAGACTGCTCAAACATAACTCCATTTGGAACATATGGTGTGGCAACTATTTATCCATCCAGCATCTAGGCCATCAAAAGCAGACAAACATACCTTTGGATCCAGAGAATAACAATTCATCAGTAGCATCCAGGCATAATACTGGCTTGGTGTGTCCTTCAGCCACAGAAATGCATTGCAGTGGTGCTGTCCGGGCACTCCTGGAACCTCCCACGGGGTTAATGATGCCCCTGACGTGGGAGAAAACAAAACAATTAAAAGAGGTGCTTGGTATAGCCAGAGTAAATAAATCACCTAAGAGAGCATTTGCATCACTCAGAGGATTCAGCCTAAGAGAAGGGCCAAACCCACATCAAGCTTCATGAAAAAGGCAGACACATGCAAAATCAAAAGTTCTAGACACAATTTGCTTCAGACTTAAGGGAGGGACAAGAAGACTCTTATTGGTTTTGCACTGTTGAATATAACTGTTGTTGAAACAGTTGTATTTTAATACTACTATATTACTACTGTAGGAGGATGACCATGTTAGTCTATGACAGCCAAAAAGTGAGTTGTGGCTCACAAAAGCTTATGCCTTTTAATAAAATGCACTAATCTGAAAAGGTGCTATCAGACTCCTGCTTTCTGTATTACTTCTGTTAGTACTATTACTTTTGGTAATTTAGAGAAAGTAAATGATAAGAGTATACGTTTGAATTATGGAATATGTTACATGAATACGGAGTTGAAGGTTCTTTTCTGAATGTGTTATATGATGGAAGTAAAGCATACTTGAGAATAAATCAAATATTTAGGAAATAGTTCAACAGTAAGACAAAGATGTATGATATCCCCTTGATTGTTTAATGTGTTTATTAACAAGAAAGGCTTGTGATGATCTTAGAAGTGTGTTTGTCAGGGATATAAAAGTGTGTGTACTTTTTTATGCAGATGATGCCATGCTGTTGGCTGGGAACCCAAATAATTTGCAACAAATGTTAGATAAATTGTATGATGCAATGAGGAATATGGATCTGAAAACCAATGTATTGAAAACCAAGCTAGTTGTGTTTCACAGAGAAAACGGAGTGAACAATTGCAAATTATACATAGAAGAGAAAAAAAGAACAAATTGGTGAATTTGTGTTCAGTGGTAGATCATTTATTGAAAATGGTTAAAGGGATGGAGTTGAATGCTGTGGGAAGGGATTGCTTAAGAAGTGTGTGTGGTAAAACAAGAAGAGCATTTAAAATGAATGGGTGTGGAATGAATATGGAGAGAATATAAAAGAGAATGGCCAATATGAAAGAAGTATAGTGAGATAATTTGGTTGTATAGAGAGAAATAGACTGAGGAAGTCTGCAGATGAAGAGCACTTCAAAAAGAAAGAGTTGAAAAGTTTGAAGAATCAGAGGCAATATATGAATCTATGCACTGACACAGTATAACCAAGGACAGAAACACATGCAGACTGAATGATGCTGAGGTAAATTAATAACTGATTTCCTTTTCTCTTTGTTTTCTCTTTTCTCTTCACTCCTGCCTTCAATGTTGTTGGTTCACTGCTTCTTTTTTTTTCCTGCCGTTTGCATATCCGAAGTGGGAATGATGTGATGGACATGGAATGTATTTACGTTAATGCTATTCTGCAATGATCCAATGGATAGGGTAAGTTCACACAGAAGCTTTTCTTAAGCTTTTCTTTGGAACATAAGAAAACACCTCAGAACATTCTTCCATTTAACTTAGACTACACTAATTAGCAGCAGTTCGTTGGAGTTTTTCCAATCTGATCTGGAAATGCCAGGGATCACAAAGCATATTTTTTACCAGTGAGCTACAGCCCTTTCCCCATGAGTAGCTCCAAGTTATATAATTATTATTACTTTTCTCCCAAAAAGCTAACGCAGAGTCCTTCATTTTCTTCATGCAAAGCTAGAGTACAATTCAAATAAGGGATGTTCCACACACACAGGCTCTGACAATCCAAGATCAGTGCACTCTTTGCATGTTTCTACAATAATATGGGGCTTTCAGTGGTTTATGGAGGTACAACTGTTTCACTGAAGGTGAGTGTTTCCCATTGCTGGGAACATCCATCTCATTCCCACTTCCCAGTATTATCCCTCCCCTTCTGAAGCAAAGAAGCCAAGGTATTTTCCTGCTACTTCTTTGTTGCTTTCCGACCACTCTGATGATGAACTTTGTCATACACCCAGAGTAGCTGATTTGTTTGACTGTTTTTCCTTCCTGGGAAAAGAAAACAGAGTGAAGGAAGATCAAGGAAGGCCTTGATTTCCCTAAAGGCCACAGCAAGCAGAGAGGAGGGGAGAATGCAGAAGCATCTCTATTTCAGGGTTTTAGACCTGAAGGGGATGGGAGGGGAACCAAATCTGACCCTTGGGCTAGACTGCTCGGCCCAGCCCTGGAGGCCAATATCCTGGCAGGGGACAGGATTTGGGGAAGATACAATGACTGAAAAAGTTGGGATTCTTCTAAGAACCCTGTACACCTATAGTATAGTCAATACTTTAAAATGGTGGGAGTCTTATCGCTTTTGAAGGGCAGCAATCTAGAGAAGGCTACCAAAAGACTTCTATTCTACCAAATTTCAAAATATAATATTAACCACAAATAGTAAACAAGATACAGAAGAAGAATTCAGTACAAATATTAAAACCTCTTAGCAATTTACAGTATGGCTTCAATAAGTATCATACTACCTTTCTAGTAAAATGTTGCTGTGCCAGAAACCTGCAGTGGAAATCAGATTGCCCATCCCATCAGCCCTTTACAACTGCTACAAATTGCTTTACTGATTGCCAGTAACCAGTGACTGAGACACATCACCCATGCCCATCTACTGCTGCCTTGATTGTATGTATACAGTCCAATAAGGGCCTTCAGCAACACTAGTTGGAATTAAATAGGGAATATAATATAAAGAGCAAATAAGCATTTTAAACAGGAAATAGAAGCTACTTGTGAAAGACAAGGAGTGTCACTTTCTATACATCTGCTGGAAATACTAGCCTGCCATAGCATGGTTGGAAGCTGAGACACATTGGTGATATAAGATACTCAAGTGGAATATAAAATAACGCAGAGAAATAATTATTGAGCAAAGAAAAAGGAAAACACTTCTCTGTAAACCACCCAGAGTCATTTTTTAATGAGATGGACAGTGACAAATTTGATATATATAAAAAATGAATAAATAAAACAGAGATGGGAAAGAGTACTACAAATACACTGCCTATATAGGAAAAAAAAATAGAACTTTTGATTTATGAAAGTGTGAATCTGATTCTACTCTGGAGCAGCCAATCCACCAGTAATTATTCACACACCATAAAAGAACCTCAAGACTGGCAATTGAGATCATCATGCGTAAAGTGATAACACCTATTACCTGGTCTTGCAATAAGGATACTAAATTGTTCAGAATGTATTTAGGTGGCTAGATTTTAAAGATGTTAGTTTTGCTTTTTTGGGTTTTATTATATACTAATGGGAGTAAATGGAGTGAAAATATGTGGTGCTATACTGTCATCTATTATTCCTGACTTTTCTACTGTTTCTTATTGCTTTGAAAAGACTGAACTGAACATTACAGATCCAGAATGGCAACCTGCAACTAATATAGATTTGTACCCCCAAGTTCTCTCTCAACCCCCCCCAGAAAACACTGGCTAATTTTGATATCCTACCATTAAGAAATAACAGCCCAATTTTCTAACATTTTTGGTGGAAAACAACAAAAATGGGCTCAAAAGCAAAAACGTGTGGGTGAACCTTTATTTAAATTTAACTTAAATCTCAATTTTTTCCACAGAAATCCATCCCTGCCCATTCTGATAAAATAATAGCATTACTGTTCTACTCACTGCTCTCCTCAGATCCTCAAAACAGAAAAATGTGTCTAATTGCTTTAAACTTGTTTTTCCCTGTTCTCTTCTCTTGTATCCCATATTCCATTCTGTACTGGGATTGAGACATTGGCCAAAATTGGCTTTATCTCTGTGCTGTAGGTGAAGTTAGAAAAGATATCGCTCTCTGGTGATGCTGTCCATAGTGCAAAAACTATTACACAATCTTGTGATCAGAACAGAATTTACTGTTCTGCACTAAAGAGTCTCATAAATATTCACAATAGGAGATTGGAATGCAACATGCAAATCAAAAATGCTTTTGTAACAACATTTTGGACTTTAAAAGATATGATTTTACTTAGGCATTAAAGTGGAAATAAGAAAGCCCTGGACTCTGGCCTAGAAAAACAGATTTTCTGGAATTCATGGAAAGGGAATGGGAATTTAAAGTCATAGAAAATATGTTCTCAACTATAAATAAAACAAGCATCACATTTTAATGTTATTTTTTTACTCAGATACCCTTTATATATCAGTTGGACTCCCTTGAAATTCTGATAACGTTCATTGGCAAAGCTATGTAACCATTCAAAAAATCCAAAAGGGGATAAATACTTTTTCACCTAATTTATACATATGGCCTGCTTTGAGATATGTTGCTGATATAGTTCACATAAACATGCCACAAATGAGCAGCTTCAGGGTCTTTAGGCCTATTACCATTTAGACCTAACCACAGTAAAAACACATTCTCACATTTTTTTCCTGCAGTGCCCTTTTTCTTACCTCCAACCCATGAATGAGACAACCTTAAATCATCCTTTTTTCTTTTTTTGTGCCTTCACATCAGTCAACTCCTGGCAATTACATGGACAAGTTCATGCATCCATGCAGTTTTCTTGGTGACATTTTCAGAAGTGGCTTGCCATTCTCTTCTTCCCAGAATTGAGAGTGAGTGACTGGCCCAAAGTCACCCAGCTGGCTTCATGCCTAAGGCAGGGCTGGAACTCAGAGTTTCCTGGTTTCTAGCCTGCTGCATTTAACCACTACACCAAACCAGCTCTTAAATAATCCTTAACTATATTAATATTAAAGTAGTATTCCCTTTTTGGGGGGTGATGCCATTCAAAAGCATCCACCAAGGCCACATGCACGCAGCTGCTTTGCCATGCTTCCCCCCTGTACTAGACTTGAGAGGAAATCTTGCTGCCCCTACAACGCACCCTTACCATATACCTGGAACAGATCTGTGTTGCAGTCTTTGTAATTTTAATACATAACATTCCAAGGGCTGTGATTGGTGGCTCTCTTCACTGAAATTCTAAACCCATCCAACATCATCCATCATGGCAATTGGAGGAGAAACCTCCTCCAATTGGCATGCACAATTGTGAAGAGGGCCACCAATCACAGCCCTTGGAATGTTATGTATTAAAATTGGTTGACATAAAGTTGTCAACGTTGAGAAACCTCCTCCAATTGGTATGCGCAATGATTTTATTCAGTTCACTGCAATCTTTTTTTCTTCTTTCTCACTGCATCATTGACTGACTGAATTTTCTTTTTTAAATTCCTTATAACTGTCAACTGATTGGTTGACCATTCAAGGTGGCAGCAAAGAATGAGAGTTCTACCATATATGTTTTGGCAGCCACCTAGGGGCAATCCTGATATGGGTAGCAGAGACTGAGATGCAGTTACTGAGTAAGTGTTGAAGAGCTGGAGTCTGAGAACTGAGTTTTGCACGTGGGAGATGTAGATTAGTATGTGAGAGAAAGAAATGAGGAACCAGGGCTTCTTTAGGAGCAGCAGCCACTGTAACAGGAATTCCCTGCCACACAGGCTACAGAAGTACTTGAGTCATCCTTTCCATTACAATTTCAAATATGTGCATTAAGCCAGGGATGGGCTAGTTAGTTCCTAAGTACTCTTTAGGTCACTGTTTCTCACCTTTGGCAACTTTAAGATGTGTGGACTTCAATTCCCATAATTCCCCAGACAGCCATGCTGGCTGGAGAACTCTGGGAGTTGGTCCACACATCTTAAAGTTGTCAAGGTTGAGAAACACTGCTTTAGGTTGACCTAAAAGAAGTGGCCACACAAGCCCAAATCCCAGACTCCCTCACACCCAACTGCAGAATAGGTGCTGAGCCCAAGTACGAACAGAAGGCTGGGTCCTGCAGCAGACCTGCAGACCAGTTGGGGCTAAGCAAATTGCTGATTCCAACTGTCACCTCAAGCCTCCTTCTCCTCCATGGATTGTCCAGATGGAAGGCTTATTGCTGGAACAAGAGGGAAAACACCACTTCGAGAACAGGGCACATAAAGCTGTCTTCAGAATGCCTCAGCTGAGGGATGACAATGAGGTACTGGCGCTGGCACAAGGTCATGTCTTCTGCAAATTGTTAGTACTGTAGGACATCTTCATGTCAAGCAAGGAAGCTGTGCGGATGTGGCTAACGTGTACAAAATCTGTTATATTTGTAGTGAATGTGCAGGCTAGAAACCCCCACCACACATTCACTGACAGCCAGCCAGCATCTAAGTTTCAATCCACAGTTAAGAGGAAGAGATGTCCTTCGGCATTAGGAAGGCATGTATGTTTTACACATAGGCACAGAAAGATGTCTCAATCCCATTCCTCCTGAACAGGAAAAAGCGGTTTTTAAAAAAAAAAACTAGGGGTAGAACATGGGGAAGACAGAGTAAGAAGCTATATACCAAGTGGAAAAAACGAGAAACGTATCATTGTTCTCTTCTACCTTTTGGCTAAAGTGGAATTTCTAGCAAAAAGAAATTTCGAAGTAAGGGAGCAGAAGGAGCATTTGATTACAGAGACAACAATTCCCTATAGGAATAGGAAAAATGTTATAGCTAGAAACTGTGTTATAATTTTGATCTTTATATTTCTATGTGTGCTTAAATTTAATATCCCATTTTTCTGAACAACTGTAAGGAATTGGATGTTTAATATCCAACTGTTCATGCATACTTCAGACTAGGCAGGAAGATATTACATTTATTTAGAATCTTACCCTAGTCTGTATTATTAAATTGCACCATCTCCCATTTTACAAAGGAGATCACACCATTTATAGCAGACCATTGCCATCTAGTGGTCTTTTGGATTTTTCCATTTAACCAATTTGCCAGGTGCTGAATATTGTAAAATTGGGCAACTCTATAATTTAACTCCTATAACTTTAAATGTTTACAATGTTAATATTAAAAGTTGAGAAGTGATCTTTACATTTTTTCTCTTTTTAAAATAATTTGATTCTCTTCCAGAAGGGGGCAGGAAGAGTTGAAACCTCTAGTCACGCACATCTGTGCTACAAGGTCAGGAGGTTTTACTAGAGAAATCTTTTCATTTTTCCCCAGTGTTTACCATTTCATATGCCATGAGGGCAGTAAATGTTGCCAAAGCCCCATCTAGACTTGGGTTAATGAGAACATTCCATGTGAAGCACCTTGTGGAAGATAGGTGGAGGCAGCAATTACTAAGCAGTTAAACCAAGGCAGGAGAAAGGGCCAGAAAGTCTATTCTTGGAGAGGAGATTTGAAACTTCCAGTCTTTCACCCTAAAGGCTTAGCCCTACTACTGTTGGCTTTGTCACCCATTATTCTGGAGGGAAGGTAGGTGACTGCAGTGACTTTTGTTCTGCAGAACAGAAACAAGCAGAGGCTGGATAAGGATCAACAAAGGGGAGAGCAACTTTTATACTGATGTTGTCAGCTGACTCAACAATGGATGGAGAGCCTGTCAACTCAGCAGAACAGAAAGGCTTTTGGGGAAAGAGACTGAAAGCTTCAGACACATGCTGGTGGTTTAACCAGCACTTCCAGACATGCTGGAATTTTAACCCACTACTAGCTGGTGATTTTCAACACATTTTAAGGGCACCAATTTGGAAGAAACCATGTTATTCCAAGTCACAGGAAGTGGGTCTGAAACATTCTTTAGTCAGCTGGGAAGTATATTTAGCACTCAGAAAGTAGAAACAGAAGAGGGCAAGAAATACTACATCAGGGTCTGGTGACATGCAGGTTTTAAATGCAGGAAGGGAAAATAGAATGGGGGTGGGTGGGAAACGGGCCACAGGAGTTATATAATAAACAGTAAGTTCTATACCTCAGCACCTCCGAGACAGAGGAATCACTGTCATCAGACCTAGGGACAGAAAATTAGCAGGATTATGGGTAATTAAAACCAGGAGAAGGAAAAGCAGCAGTATAAAGTGAGAAGAGGGAAGTTTGTTATTGCATCCACGCTAGCAGGGCAGATAAAAGGACAGCAGGCTGCAGATAGAGAGGGCTCAGGAGCAGAAAGAGCATGAGCAGAAACCACAATTTTATAGGCATTTTGTCACTCACTAAAAGCTTAACATTATACCATTAGGTCGTGAAACTTGCTTTAGGAAAAAGGACTCTCATGCTGAATTATTGCACATATGTGGCTCTTCTGAGGAGGTAGACACAATGCACACAACAATATCTACGCAACGTTTGTGGGTAACACCTAGTGGCCAACTTCTGAGCAAAGTCTATTGTGGGTACCATGACACCTCCTCATGAGGATATGGGCATTGTGATGACAAATTCCTTCTATAAATGACTGCCAATTAAGTTTCCACACATGCTTTTATTTTTATTTGAAACTTCAATAGCCACTTAGGCTGAAGGTGATCTATATTGGACAAATTAGCTAAAGCAGTAATGGAACATCAGCAGTTTTTGGAAGCTACAACCCCTCTCCCTCAACCCCCATCTCAAAAGTATGCAGGCTGGTATTTGAAAGGCATAGTGCATATATAACTCTATTCTGGGATCTTGCCCTTTTAATGGAGCAACATAACAGCTAATTGGAGCATATGTGCAACTCATGCCTATACTGAAAAAAATAAACTTGCATCCTCTCAACATTCATGCACACAAACAGTTTTGATAATGAGATTCCTGGCCCTGGGAGGCTACAGACAGGACTGGAAAGAGATTTCATGCTTCTTACCAACCATCTAAATACACTGAAGAGAGGCAACAATCATTTAGCAGTGGAGACATTATGGAATCTATAAATTTAGATATGGTCCTGGATGGGGAAACTTGGTGTAACAATTATTTAGGTTTCCTATATATTTGGGGAAGTTTCAAGGAAATCTTGTCTGGTTGCTCCTAAATGTCTTGATAGCTGAAGCAAACTCCAGAGCAAATGGGACGACACATCTGCAAGTTCCCCTGAAAAACCAAACCAAAACAACAACCCAAAACAAAAAACTAAAGGTTTCAGTGTTGGGTAAAATGGAAAATAAGGAGAAACTATTCTTAGCGCCAGCAGCTGTAACTATAAGTTCTTTTCTTATGGGAAATGAGCCTCCCCCAAATCTCATAGTTAATCTTACTTGTCTAATGCAGAGCCCTGGCTCTGGTTGCTAGTGAGGCGAGAGAAGACATTGCGGTCATTGCGTGGCCTGCTGGGAGGGGATGAGGGAGGAGTGAATCCAACATCTGGGTTCCTAGGCAAGAAAGAAAGATGTGATGATTTACTGGGATTGGAGACTTGTTTGCTCCTTGAACATCATCTCTCACCTCTCTGATCCTGCCCCATGAAGCAAGTCAACTCTTGGATTACAAAGAAAATAAACGCTACCAAGGGGTCCCTTCTTACACACTTACCTGATGGGCTGACCCCTGTCATATGACTTCCTCCTTGTGAGGGGTGATGTGTCTGTGCCTCGGGACTGTCGAGGGCTAAACGGGAGAAAATGACAGTAAACATTCTTCACAAAATTAGATTTCTTCCACTCTAGCTCCTATCGGAATGAATGAAGTGCCAAATGCCATGAGCAGATTCAGATATTCTGCATCACAGGTGGGGAATCGTTTGCTTCAAAATGCTCTTAGTGACAGGGAGGATAGGATGTACATAATCTTCTTGCAGGTACAAAGATTTTGACGAGGGAGCACATTTAAGTATGTAATCTCTTAAAAACACTACAAGATGACACAAACTGCATAGAACAAACTGTCAAAGAACTGAAGTGGACTGGGAATAGTAGCTCAGTTTTCAGTACCTTCAGTGTTTGCAGGATCACTCATATGTGCAGGAGTATTCATATTTGTTTTAGTATCTGTACTTATTCTTGCCAGTTCGTGACTGATGGAGACTAATATAGGTTATGTCATTTGTATAAATGGGGTTTTCTAAATATACAGCAGCAACATCCTGCAGGAAATGGCTCCTGTTAAGACTGCACAATGCTTCAAATTTTATTCTAAAAGGGTGTTTCAGAGCACATGGGGCGTGAACACGGCATCTGTCTGCAATGCTTTTAAAGCAGTTGCATCTTTTCCAGAAATCATATGGCTGCTGCTTGAAAGGGAAATTATGGCTTTTTTGAAGAGTTGCAGGCAGATATTGTGTTCATGCTCTCATGCTCTCCGAAGCACCTTTTTGAAATCAAAGCCAAAGCAAAGCTCAGCCCTAGTTCCTACTTTTCCAGTAGGGCACTCTACATTTTAAACCAGGATCAGGTGAAGCTGCTAGCTGATTGAGGATTATGAAAAGATTTTTGAGAGAATTTCACAAAAATGACAGAATCTAATTAATTGAAGTCTTCTATGTTGCTGCTAAACTTTGTGTAAAATTTGTGGCCAACAAAAAAGCTGATTCTGGCCTGACATCAATGCACAGATCTTTGTTTTTTCCTTGTCTGTTACTCCTCTGGCTCACCTACTACTACCCCCAACAAAACCAAAATTTTGGTTGCTAGAAGGATGACTCATATATTTGCTTACACAAGATAATGGAAAAATAATGGACTCCAAATTTTCAAGCCAGTAGCACATCCACTGCTCAACATGCAAGAGAATTTTCCATAGAGGTCATTGCCTCTACTACCAGGACTTACAATGTGCTCCCTCGGATAGGCAGGCTGATAGTGCGGGAGACCTTCTCCTTATAATAGGGATCACGGATAGAGAATCCAACACTGTCCTCTTTGATCTCCATGAGAGATGCCAATGACTTGGTGATGTTCTTAGTGGAGATGTCCAATGTGGGCCCTAGGCACTCTGCAGATACAGCTTTCATCTGACCAGACAACTTGGGCTCTCCCTAAAACAAAGTCCAAAAAGACCCAGGTCAGAAAAGAAAATGCTTCAGCTATTCAGGCATTACTCCCTTGCTTAATACGTAACAATCCTTACTGGTTGGCAAAACATAGCACAATGACTTGAGTTCAAGCAAGAGATAGTTATAGTGATCATCCTAAACTCTATGGAAGGATATTGTAAGTTCCAAGAGCTATTAAGACGCTAAATAAATTTTGGTCTAAAGCCAATAAAGGAAAGGGACATACAAATGGATAAGGATGAATATTTAGTACTAATAAATTATGAACATTTGTATATCATCCCAATCTAATAACTCTGGGTGGTTTGCAATTAAAAAAATCAGTAAAATTTGAAAACACAAAAAATCCATCAAATAAATGCAAATTCACAATATGCCCATCAACTAATATTTAATTAAAAAAAGAAAGCATACACCGGGCTATTAGGCCTTGATTGCTTGGTGGTACAGTTAAGTTTTGAGAGTCCTTCTAAAGTTGCTGAGCATGGGTACAGTCTGTTCCTTGACTGGGAGAGATGTTCCACAGGACAATGATAGCCACTGTAATATAACTACACATGGCAGAAATCTTTTTTTTTTCCTCCATAGTTTGTCTTTGCAGTGAAGCCAATTCTCTCCAAACAGATCTAAATTAGACCCATCAGGTTGGACATGATATAGACAATCACATCTGCAGGGCACCAGTCTGTGTCAGACTATATGAGACCTGTTCTTAGCTGACAGCATGGCTAAATAAAATGTTATCACATTGGCACATTAATGAAAAAAAGTCATTTATCAAAAAATGATAGGGAAATTCCTTCTCGTGACAAGATTTTTTTGCAAGAATAATGCTTAATGAGGCTCCAAAGATTAAAAACTCTTTCCTTTGTGTCGGTTCATGAGTTTTGTCATGTAACTGTTTGATCCCCTGAGACTTCATGGAAACTACTCTCAAAGTTTAATTGAAGAGCAGCCAGATGTTTACAAATGAAGACACAAAACACCTATAGCCACACTTGCCAAATGCAGCATTCAACTTACCCTGCACTTGAAATCATCCTGACTGGCAGAACCTTTCATGAAGAAAGACTGGGAAAAGCTGCAGGACACAGAAAGAGATCTTTGGTACATGCAACTTTTACAGGAAGTTGTAGAGAATCCAAGTGAGACCAACGCCTAAGAGACTCCTCTAAGTGGAACACCCCAGAGTCTGATTTATTCCTGCCACAAGCACTCCATACTGAATTGGGCTTTCATATGAAAAAGTAGAGCATAGGGATTCCTTGATGACTGTGAACTGGTTCATTGGTCAACAGAAAGAATTTCCATTTCTCCTACCTTTTAAATCACCAAAGGGTAAAGAAAATATATACACTTGCCCCTCACTTTATCTGAGGATACTCACCTTCCCTCTGAAGCCAAACTGAATTCGGAGACTTCCTCATCAGTGCTGGCATAACCATTTTCTATACGAAAAAGAAACCAACATTTGGATTATATTCACCAGCACACAGACATGTAGAGAGTCACTAGCACTGCTTCTATATCAGGAACGTATCAGGGAAAATGTCACTAGGGTATATCCAAAGGACACAGGAAGGCTGTTCTTAATTTTTAAAGTGCCTGGGCAAAAGAGCACTGATCTTCAATTTAGAGAGGCAGAAGGACCACAAGAATGAACCCAGAACAAACGTTCAACTTAAAAACAGCCTTGCTACATGAACTGACTAATTCAGTGGTAGGTGTAAATATTCAGTTCATGGCTGTACTCATCACATAGCAGCCTGGCTATCTGAAGTTTCTGTCATGTAGTGGCTGTCCTCAAACTGGTCCTTTTGTCACAGGGCAAGAAAGCTTACAGGAGAGTTGCTATCAAAGAGCACTGCAGGTATGTGAATAACAAAACAGACCTTGTTGTACATTGTGAATGAGTGCCTGTAATTCAGGGTGGGATTCTGCTTTTTCTCGTAGGGCATCCAGAATATGATGGTTCTGAGAGGAGCCAGTCACATCTGTTTGTCTCAGACGTCCTTCCAGTAAGCGGATCTGAGCTTCCTTCTGGGCTACTTGCAGGCTCTGTTTTCAGAGATTGGAAAATTAGATAAGGAGATAAGAATCTCTCCACAAGCTCTATTCTCAACCATACAGAAGGTTTTATTATTATTTCTGCAATGGGATTCTGTGTCTTACCATGGATTCTGAGACAAAACCAGAAGACTGTAATCATAACATTCAGTCAGAGATTAATTCTACTTCTAAGCAGAGTGTTTGGATAAAGCACAGGGGTTAAAAAGAGTTTCACTCCAAATACATTTCAAAAAATCAAAAATATTACTCCATTCTATATGAATTTCTCCAAGAGTTCCACAGATAGATCAGATTAACCTTGAAACCAATTACATTTGCTACTGAATTAGCTATACCTATCAATCAATATAGGGGATTCCTAGCTTTGACTTACCTTGTCTATGGATGCCTTGAGAAAATTATCCAATAAAAGTCGTGCTTCAGCCAAGGAGCAGGAGCTGATCACCACAGACGTGTCTGTAGAATCCAATTCTTCCTAGCAAGAAGAGACCCATAGGGAGAAGCAATAGAATGAGAAAGTCTGGGGAAATAACCTTATTTCACCATCTAAAACATTGGTTTCATTGGCCAGTTTGCTTTGTATAACATCCTCTCAGTAGAGTTGTGCGTGAGTAGCCAATTTCAGTTATTCACTCACCAAATGAACCCACTGTGGACTCTGAACCCTCTCAGGGTTCTCATAAGGATTGTAAAACACAGTACTTCCTTAGTTGCCCTTTGCTTCTGAGAATCTAAGCGCAAGGAGCCTAGCTATCAGCCTCAATTAACCTCTGGGCTCATACACAAACTATGGAATCCCCTCTCCCAAATCGTTTGCCTCAGGTGCAAATGGGACACACCTTAGTCTCTTCAATTTGCATAATGGTGGCCTGGCAGTCAGAAATACTGTCATTTATGTAGTCGAGATTGGCAGCCAATACTTCAATCTCCTCATTCAACTCCTGCAACCCCTTCTGTTCCTCTGGATTCTCAGTTTGTAGTTTTTCCTTCTTCCCTAGAAGTCCTTCCTGCATCAGTGACAATTCCTCACGTTTCTGAAAGCAAGAAGAAAGAATTGAGTCTCTCTGCTAGGCCATTGTTCTGCAACACACTCTGCTCCCAGACCTTGCCCTCTATCTCAATGGAAGACACCCACCCTGATGAGCCACCCACCCTCTTCACCTTGATAAGACGTTCCATATCTGATTCCAGATTGATGACAGTCATTCTTTGCATGACAATATCAAAGACACGACGTTCCAGTGACTGCCACTTCAGGCGGGCTGTCTTATTAAAAGTCTGATTTGTACCTTTTTTGGGGAATCTTTTCCTGCAGAGGGAGATCACATAGCAAGAGGTGAGTAGCATAATCCTGCGATTATGCTAAATTCTGGGCCATGCTACTCCAAGTACTTCTGAAGTAGAGGGATGTGGGTGGAAAACCACTCTGAATGCTATCAAGAAGGAAGATACTGGGAAAAGCCAAAGTCCCAGAAGGCAAGATTGGGCTTGAAAAATATCAGTACACTCACACATACTCACACCAAATATGCACTTTCTGACACCTTCCTTGAATAGCCTGAAATATAACCAAACAGTTAACTTGCACAGCATCTGACCTGATTGTCCGAGTTCCATTTGTGGAAGAAGGAGGATCTCCCAGAAAAGCATTGGTTTTTCTATTCCACTGGCGTACAATGCTAGAGACAGAACGAGAACCAGATTCTGCCTCTAAGGAGGTGGCGCTGGTGGAGACTTCAGCACCTGGCTCTACCATGGTTTGTTTCTGGTTCATCCTCCCAGCAACCCTATCAGACATAGGTTTGGCTAGACGACGCAGAGCAGAGACCTGGAAAGCCAGAAGAAAACAGTCTTGACAAATAGAAATATGAAAATAGGGTTAGGCATCAATTTCAGGAGGAGGACCAAAAGTGAAGCAATAACAGCCCCAAACTGGAAGGGCAAATGGATCAGGACAAAGGCAGCTAGATTTGGGGAAGAATTCTTTTCCAAGCGACAAGGTTTTTGAGATGCATGGCAAAATAATGCAAAATGCCAGACATTATCTATAATCAAGATCAAATAGTCTATCTAAGCTAAGGCCCAATTTAGTTACTACACTAATCAAGTGATGTGCTCAGCCTGTTGGTAAGAAATAACTGATTTGCTTGGGATACACAGAAACTAATAATTCTGTTTAATACATTTACATACTCGAAAGATACATTTTGGGTCTCCCATTCTGTGCAGAGCTCCAGTGATTCCTAAGTATGAGAGGTGTTTCTCTTGTTTGGTTAAGTGAGGTTTCAGTTTGAGTGACTATATGTGATTGGTCCAACAAGCCACACTCAAGAAACCACACATATTTCTGGAGTACAAGGAGATATTTCCAAAGTTGCAAAATGGCAAGGACTTTTTAAAAACAGATTGAGCACTTGCTGTTTTTGTGCACACTAAGCCTACACCTCACCTCTTGAGTTTTCCTGCGCAAGACGATCTCCTGCTGGCGCTTCTGAGATTCCAGCGTTCGTATCTGAAACTGCAAGCACAGTGGGAAAGAAACTATTGGCAACATCCCACAAGGGGGCATCCAGGAAATAAACTTTCCTTAGGATGCTTCACTGATTGCTCAGATAAAGCACTTAAGAGTACCTTATATTGAGGCCTAATATACATCAGTTGGGATTATCCAACCCTTCCTGTTGCAATGCCAAGGGATTTATGGATGGAAAGTAGATTGATGTGTTTGCTGATCAAGAGATAACACCTATATTCAGCCTGCAGAAACTATGAATTATAAGATGGGAAACTCTGATTTCAGACTTTTACTGTATTTTCTGCTTGGTACCTAAGCATGCTCTTGTGGCACTGTTGGGAATATGAGTTTTTCTAGCAATTATTTTCTAAGGCTGTCAGGAATTCCTGTAATTGAAACCCCAGCTCCAAAAAATCCCTGAACGGTAGCTCCCTGTTCTTGTTCAGCTATTCTATAATAGGTCATCTGGGGAGGGGAAAACTATCCCAGACAATATGAATTTATGTGAAGATGATGGAATTTGCTGAGATGGCCAAATTGACTTCTTTGATCAGAGAAAAGGCAATATCTACATTTATTGCTGATTGGAAATCCCTTATAGACTTTTTGCGTGAAAAAGAAAAAAAATGAACTTATGATTTATGGTTTTGATGATGAGACAGAATTGATTATAGAAAAAATAGAGTTATGTTGTAACCATAGAGCAAGAGGTAAATTTTTAATTGTACTTATAACTGCTGTAAAGAAAATCGGAAGCTACATCTTTGAATCTTTTTTCTTTCTTTGCTATTTTCTTTTTACTTTTCCTTTCTTACACTTTTAGCTCTTTCTTTGAATTCTTTTTTCTTTTTTTCATTTTCTTACTCTATATTAGTTTCTATTAACTTTTATCTTCTTTCTTAAAAATTTTAATAAAATTATATAAAAAACAATATGAATTTATGGAGTATTTCTAGAATTGCTTTGTTTTCTTCATTTTCATTTTTAAAAGAATTTAAAATATTTAAATATGTTTAAAATGTTAAATTGTGGATTATATCAGGTCCTTAAGTAGGAAGTACCAAAATCAAAACTTCAGGATTCTCATTAGATAAATTCCATATAGCATGTTAAACCAATATGTTAGTATATAATATTGTAT